CATTTTTCTTTTATTATTCATATGTGCATACAAGGCTTGGTTCATTTCTCCCCCCTGCCCCCACCCCCTCCCTTACCACCCACTCCGCCCCCCTCCCGCTCCCCCCCTCAATACCCAGCAGAAACTATTTTGCCCTTATCTCTAATTTTGTTGTAGAGAGAGTATAAGCAATAATAGGAAGGAACAAGGGGTTTTGCTGGTTGAGATAAGGATAGCTATACAGGGCATTGACTCACATTGATTTCCTGTGTGTGGGTGTTACCTTCTAGGTTAATTCTTTTTGATCTAACCTTTTCTCTAGTTCCTGGTCCCCTTTTCCTATTGGCCTCAGTTGCTTTAAGGTATCTGCTTTAGTTTCTCTGCGTTAAGGGCAACAAATGCTAGCTAGTTTTTTAGGTGTCTTACCTATCCTCACTTAGCAGGATCTTAACAAAGATAACCATGTTATCTTAACAAAGATAACATGTTGTTTTACATGTGTTTTAAATATTTCAGTGATTAAAATACTAAGTCATAGAACCTAATGTTATGAGACTTGTGAATTCACAAGAACAATGAGACAATCCCACTCATTCTCACTCTTGTACTGTCCTCACATCATTATTGTGCTGTTGTTGTTTTCAAAAGTACATCAAAAAATTCTACATTGCATTGGTGGAGTGACTCAAGTGGGAGAGCGCCTGCCTACCAAGCATGAGGCCTGAGTTCAAACCCCAGTGCTGCCAAAAAAATAAGCAAGAATTTCTACGTTACCAATATAAGCCCCAAATACAGATTTAGTCATGTCACTCGCTGCTCCAACACCATCACTCTCTGTGTAGCTGGTTTACAATCTGGAACCACCACCCTTTCCAATCCACTAACCACACATGAGATTTAAACCTTGCCTGTTCCTCTGCTCCATTAACTGTCCTCCTCCTAGAGTTAAGGACATTTGTTGTCCATTTGTACAGCCTCCCCACACCCACCTCAGGCTCTGGATCTAATCCTTACCTAAGTTAGAAAGCATAGTGGATTTATGGCCCTCTAATTCAACTCAGGAAATTGAGGATGAGTGACTGTACCTCCTGCTTCGCTCTGACCTTGTGGTCTACATTAGCACTCCTCAAATTCTAACTTGCATACAAGTCAGCTGGATCTTGTTAAAAATGCAGATACTGATTCTGTAGGGAGGCATGGAGCCTGCAATTCTGAACTTCTAACAGGTTTCTGGGTAATGCAAGAGCTGCTAGTCTGGGGACCATACTTCGAACAACAAAATTTAGTACATGACTCAAATTTGTCTGTATCTTGGAATCACTCACTGATATCTAAGTTCCATCCCTTGACCTTCTGACTTTATGAGTTGCAACCTGATCACAGAGAGTTTGAAAAACTCCCCATTTAATACTAATGTACAACAAGGTTTGGGAGACATTGGTCTATACCCCTAATTCAGATAATTAGGTCCTTGGTTTTTCTATTTTGCCTGAGATCTAGTCTCAATAGTCTGTACAATATCATTATTGACTTCTCCTTGCTTAGACTCTGTTATAGAATCACACACTGGAACTCTTCCTTGAGTGGTTGATGGTGATGTGCTGAAATTTGAAAAATTCCTTTGAAGATGATAATATTGCCTGGCTGCTTTAGACTTTAAATTTAGAGTCTAGCATTGTTGGCTCCGAGTCTTCCTTACTCTGGGAAGTTTTGCCTGCCTATCAAGTATTTATTGGATGGCATATAAATTTAAAAAGAACCATTCATTCATTTATTCAACTAAGTCCTTACCTCTCACATGTCAGGCAATATTCCAGGACCAGGGGAATATTTAAAAAAGAAAAGACCAAGTAAAATCCCTAGCCTATAGATGCTTACATGCTAATAAGAGAAACAAATAACAAGAAAATATACATATAATCTAAGCTCAAGTAAAGATCAGAAATTGTGAAGAAAACTACGCAGAGTAAAGAAATAAAGAATGGTAGTGCCTGGTATTTCAGTCACATAGCATGATCTCAGGAGGGTCTCTTGTGTAGGAAATATTTGGGCAACACCATAATGAGGCTAGAGGAGAGGGGAACTCAGAGTTCAGTTTTTGACATGTTAGGTTTGTAAGTCAGACACCCAAATCATGATGAAGTTGGTAATAACAATTGCCTCTGGATTTCAAGTGGGAGGTCTGGGCTAGAAATGTCAATTGAAAAACTTCTAGGCACCAAAATGCCTGAAGGCCCAAAAGATTGCATCAGATCACCTAGGGAATGTATGAAGACAGAGGAAAGGTCCCAGCAGAACTGAGCCCTAGAGCAGTCCAAGAAAGGAAACTGAGCAAGCGTCCCAAAGAATCTGGAGGAAGTCGTGTTTTGAAAGACCAGGAAGGCAAGAAAGTGTTTGAGAAAGAAGTAATTATTGTGCCAGATACTTCTTATGGGCTGAATATTATGAAGACTAACAATAGACACTAAACCCAATCAACTATTGTCTCTTACCCAGATTAATATCTAGTAGCTTCCTAATCTGTCCTCTTTCCTCTCATCTTGCTTCTTTGGAGGCTTTTTCCATAAAAAAACTCACAATGATCATTGTAAAGTTTAATCAGATTAGTTCTCCACTTCAGACTTCCAAAGGCTATTCATTGCAAGTGGACTTAAAACAGGCAAAGTTTGGCTGGGAGTGTAGCTCAATGATAGAGCACTTGCTTAACATGCAGAGGTCCTGGGTTTGATCCCCAGTACCAAAACAAAACCAAAAACCAAACACCAAAACTAGGTAAAGTTAGATATTATCTGGCTTGTGCCTACCTCTATGAGTTCAATCTCCCTCCCTGTTCCCCTTAACTATCTTCCAACAAGGTTAGATTTGAGTTGTATTCTGTAGGAGATAGAAACTAAGAACCCCTTGGCTGCCCCCACCCCCTTTTCCTTTCTTGAAGAGTTATCAACATATTGACAATTTCCTGGCTTTAGTACCTGTAATTCACTTCGTAGCTACTTAAGGGCTTTCATCAAGAGTTTGCTTGGCCTCCACTGTCAAAACCTCAAAGTGCAGAACAATCAGTAGGACAGCGAGAAGACACACAACCCAGCCACTTAAGTCTCTAGTAGGAGGATCCTGGAGTAAGTTCCAATTGGTTTCTCAAAGGAGTCTCACTGTGGGGAAGTCGGTCTTATTATCTACAATAGTAAGCCACTTATAGCACACTCTTTATTGTCTTTTCTTTCTCCCTCTCTACTTTCTCCATTCCCTGGTGCTTTCTTAGGTGACTTTTCCAAACAAGCTATGTATACATATACATCAGTCCTTAACTCAGGATCTATTATGAGCAGGCAAATGAAAACACAGGCCAAGCCGCTTCTCATCTTTGAGTTTTCGCAGGTTTTCTGCCTTTGACTTAGCTCTTCTCTCAAAAATACTCATCGGTTTTAGTCTGTTTGGGCTGCTGTAACAAAATATCATCAACTCGAATGCTTATAAACAACATAAATTTAATCTTCACCTATCTTGGGAAGTCCAAGATCAAGGTGCTGACAGATTTGGTGTCTGGCCAGGGCCTAAATTTAGGGTATACAAACATTCACAGCACAAAGTGGGTTCAACCTGAATACTTCATTTTCAAAGGGTTTCCATGACACTGATTCAACTAGCATTTATCAGTCACTGTTGCATCTTCTTCACGGCAGTACTAAAATTTTTGAATCATTTTATGAGCTTATTAACCATCTCACTTCTACTTCCTCACACTCACCATACATTTCCAAACACATTCATGACACACAAGATTGTAAGCATTCCTTACAAGCACAAACTCTCTCTGCCTGCCTTTTTGCTCAGTCCCTAAAATAACACTCAGACTAGAATAGACAGAGGCCTTGCTTCTGTTAGTGGGGTATGTGGAACTGCTCAATCTTATGTCAGGGAGTTCGTTTCATATACCCAATAAGCATGAAAAATAGCAAATGTTCCAGATGCATAAATTCGATCAGAAAAATGTGTGTCTATGTATGCAAGTGTGGATTAATATGTGTGTGTTATGTGTACAGGAAATTCCTAAATCACTCATTTTTCAATAATTAAAATTTTTATTTTTATATTTAAATAAACAGGAATATTAAGGAGTAACAGGCAGATTCTCATGGGCTTTCTTGATAAAAATCAGTGTTCACTGTCCCTTGCTTTAGGGGTACTGTGACGGGAAAGCGTGAAAGCCTTCCTCTGAGGGACCCACGCCTAATTGGAAAAAAGGAGGAGACTCTAATGGGAATGGACAGCTATACAAGCTGTCCCTAATTTTTTTCTAAGTTCTTCCCTCCTCCTCCCATTCTCAGGAGCTTTAAAGTCATTACCCATACTTCCCCACTTTCTGGCCCCATTTTCCCAAACTGAGTTCTCCACAACCATTAATTTATGTTCTCTAGAGATTAAAGAAAATCTGTGCTCAAATAAGGCTGGAAAGCACAGATTAAATCTCCTTGAGTGTGCTAATGGTCATTTTCTTAAACCAAAACTGTACATGTAGGTTTGCCTCAAAGTAGCTAACCTTGTGATCAGTTTTACTTTTTTGAAAGCAAATAGTAAAACGCCACACAGGAAGAGGATGGTATTCCAAATCTTGAGCCCTTTCCACAACAGACATCATACTTTCTACATAGGTTTCTATACCTATCAAGTAAAAGAGTGAGTTTCTCTTTTATTTTTATTTATTTGTTTATTATTTATTTATCTTTGCAGTACTGGGGCTTTGAACTCAGGGCCTACCCCCTGAACCACTTCACCAGACCTTTTCTGTGATGGGTATTTTTGAGATAGTCTCAAGAACTATTTGCCCCAGCTTGCTTCGAACCATGATCCTCCTGATCTCTGCCTCTTGAGTAACAAGGATGTCTATATCCATACCATCTTGAAAATACCCGAT